CACATGGTGCGCACTGAGCCAAGCAGAAATCTCTCCCTGCAGGCTTCTTCCCCCTGGGTTCCAGCTCTGAAACTCCCGGCGCTCTGCACTCCTCCCGGCAACCCACACTCCAGGATCGGGCAGCGCGAAGGCTACCGCATTTCTAGTGGGACCCCAAACCACGGCACCTGCCAGAGGCCGGGATGCCCACTGTGCTCCTTCCTGAATCCTCCACACCAGGTTGGATGCTGAACCGACTGGAGTGAGGCTGTGGGGCTTGGAGCCAGCTGATGACAAAAACAGGAACAGTACGAAAGCAAGTGTCAGTTGGAACAGAATGAGCAAGACGGAAGAATGGCAGGTAACATTAAAAAAAAAGTTACTTAGACTAGCGTGGGCATTTAGCTCAACCCCACAGGAGTGCCTAGGTGTGATCCCCAGCTCCAGCCCTGGACTCCACACCCCTGTCGTGCAGCCCCTAGGAGGCGGCAGGTGATGCTTCAGGTAACTGGACGCTTGCCACCTGTGTGGAAGACATGGATTCATTTCCCAGCCCAGGCTGTTGCAGGCATTTGGGGAGCAGGTCGGTGGATTCAATTTCTCTTGCTCCCTCTCAAATGAGTAAATTAAATTAAAAATACATATGCCCTTGGGGCTGCCACTGTGGCACAGCGTGTTAACACCCTGGCCTGAAGTGCTGGCTTCCCATGCGGACGCCGGTTCAAGACCCGGCTGCTCCACTTCCAATCCAGCTCCCTGCTATGGCCTGGGAAAGCAGTAGAAGACGGCACAAGTCCTTGGGACCCTGCACCCATGTGGGAGACCCAGAAGAAGTTCATGGCTCCTGGTTTCGGATCGGCACAGCTCCAGCTGTTGCGACGAATTGGAGAGTGAACCAGCGGATGGAAGACCTCTCTCTCTCTGCCTCTCCTCGCTCTGTGTAACTCTGACTTTCAAATAAATAAATAAATCTTTAAAAAAAAATACATATGCCCCTACATGCAGACCTGATTGGAGAGGAACAAGGAGGAGACAAGGATGGACAGTTGGAAGACTATCACCTAGATGACTTATGATGTGACTTCTATTAGGGGTGACTTGGGATACATTCTGCAAGGAAGACATATAAGCCTTACTGATGGACTGGATGTGAGGTATTAAAGAAAGGTCGAAGATGACTTGTAGGTTTCAGCCTGAGTAACTGAGTAACCAGTTACGGAGATGAAGGAGGAGGCAGGGACAGCCTTTTGGGAGAAGTTCTAGAGCTGTATTTCAAGTTGAGATGTAAGACTTTCAAATGGAGATGTTGAGATGACACAAGATTTGAGTCTGGGCTCATGGGCGAGATCCAGGGAAAGAAATGAATTTTGTAGGAAAGGTGGCATTTAAGCAAGGGATCACATGAATTCATAGGATAAACACAAAAGGCCAAGGACTGAACCCTCAGGATGCTAACTTTTGGAGACCATGAAGAAGAGGAGTTTGGAGAGGAGACCAGGTATTTCTAAGACTGCTCTTCACAAAGCAGCTGGGATTACCATATCTACGAACTACGAGGCCACAGCCAACCACCATACACTTCTTCAAAAACTGCCTTCCAGAGTCATACGCCTGCTCTCTTTCTGGCTCCTGACCCACGGCCCCAGGCTGCAGAGCCCCATTGCACCTGTCAGCTGCACTGCGACGTGGTCCTTGGCAGGTCTCCTAGGTCTTGGATCCAAGCTCTCGCATCAACTAAGGACTTCTAGTTGTCTAACACTGACCGAGAGCTTGTTCCCCAGAGCTGCCAAAAATTCTTGGCAGATGATCAATGAAGCACACAATGAGTGAGTGTTCAACAGAGACTCCCTGCAGCCTAAGCCAGAGAAAGGCTGGTCACCCCTGAGGAATCTGCTCTTGGCCGCGCAGTGACGTCGCAAACTCTTACCCAGAAAAGTTGGTGACTGTGTGTCCCTGGGAACGTGCCAGCATTTCCTGGAAGCTGCTAACGTCATGAACCTATGCCTAAGTACTGCAAATAGTGGGCACCTGCTCTTTCGGCCCCAGTCGCAGGGTGAGCCTGGAGATGCCTGCCTCTGCCCCAGCCTCACCTGTAAAGAGAGTGTCACCTACCTCACAAGTGTTTGTGAAGACAAAATGAGATAAGCGGGTAAAGTGCCAGGCACATAGTGAGTGCTAGTCTCATCTACCCTGATGACCACAAGACGACACTAGCTGAATGGTAACCATGTCCTAAAAATGTCACTTTTAATGCCATTTAAGAACAGAATAATAAAAGGTTTACTTTGGTTGTTTTTCTGAGCAAACCAATATAGGATCAATGGAATTTAAATTTGGCCTAAAAACTAAAGTCCTTCCTTTCTCTAAACTCCCCTCCCAAGGTTAGTGCAACCAAGTTACACAACTAAGAGTCAAGGATGTAACGTCTATTTTTTTTTTTTTTTTTTTTTTGACAGGCAGAGTGGACAGTGAGAGAGAGAGACAGAGAGAAAGGTCTTCCTTTGCCGTTGGTTCACCCTCCAATGGCCGCCGCGGCTGGCGCGCTGCGGCCGGCGCACCGCGCTGATCCGATGGCAGGAGCCAGGAGCCAGGTGCTTTTTCCTGGTCTCCCATGGGGTGCAGGGCCCAAGCACCTGGGCCATCCTCCACTGCACTCCCTGGCCACAGCAGAGGGCTGGCCTGGAAGAGGGGCAACCGGGGCAGAATCCGGCGCCCCGACCGGGACTAGAACCCGGTGTGCCGGCGCCGCTAGGCGGAGGATTAGCCTAGTGAGCCGCGGCGCCGGCCGGATGTAACGTCTATTAATGTGAGATTGATAACACTGATTCCAAGTAAAAATTAGGGAGCAAAATGGAAATCTCCAAGCCTGACCATCATCCTGCAAGAGTTGTCTGAAATGTCCATCGTGTAACATATTCCATTCCTCCTTAGGAGACTGGACTAGAGTCATTAAAGTTGGCAAGAGGAGCAGGAAACCACTCAGAAGACCAGCCTGGCTATTTTATTAATGGAAGGTTACATAACAGTTTCACCAAACTACAGAGTTCCCATCTTAGAGTCTTTCAATATTTATGGAAACAGAAGATTCTCATGCTACAGTCCATTTCAGAAACTGAGAATTTCCATTATCTGACAGCGATCCATTCTGTATTATTTTAGCTCAGTTTCAGAACTGGCTACAGAGAGTTAGACTCCTTTTTACTCCTACTCACTAACAATAGGTCAGTTGTGTCTAGGGCTTGACCTCGAATCTCAAGTAGGTGCAACTGAACAAAACGACACCGACAGGCTCTCGACTCCAAAAAACTTGGTCGTATCACCGGCCTTTCAGTTTCTAAACAACGCACTAAAGAAAGCCATGTATCTGGGACCATTTAACGCCGCTGCCTACAGTATTAGAAAGTGGGACACAAAACAACTGAAGAATGCACAAGTACCTTGAAAGAATAAAAGTGGAAATGCCGTGCCAGTGTTCAGAAACGGAGTCCCACGCTCCGAACAACACGCTCCGAAAACAAACCATGAGTCACGCATTTCCCGGCACTTCGATTTCATGGACTCTGACTTTTTATAGGTAATTAATAATTTTGATATTATTTTTCAAACCAGTGCATAGGGGAGCTACTTCTAAGCCATAATTTTCAAATCAATAAACTGACTTTTGTTTGCTTTAAATAAGCTTTTATGTTGCAGTAACTTTAGATTTACAAAATACTTACAAAGATAGTACAGACTTTCTACATACCCCATCCAGATCTCCCTAAAATTAACATCTTACATAACCGGAGTGCATTTGTCACAGCTAAGAAATTAGAACAATATGTGACTGTTAACTACAAAGTTTATTTAAATTTCACTTATTCTCTAATGTCTTTTTTTTTCTAAGTACAATCCAGTTTATCTCCTGGCAATTAATGACTTTTTATTTTTTTATTTTATTCTTCTAAGACTTATATATTTATTTGAGAGGCAGAGTTACAGAGAAGGGAGAGACAGAAAGGTTTTCCATCCACTGGTTCATTCCCCAAGTGGCTGCAATGGCTGGAGCTGAGCTGATCGGAAGCCAGGAGCCAGGAGTTTCTTCCGGGTCTCCCACGTGGGTGCCAGGGCCCAAGCACTTGGGCCATCTTCTACTGCTTTCTCAGGCCATTAGCAGAGAGCTGCATTGGAAGTGGTGCAGCTGGGACACAAACTGGTGCCCTTATGGGATGCCTGTGCCACAGGCGGAGGCTTAACCTACTACACCACAGTGCCAGCTCCTAATCACATTTTTAAATGCTGTAAGTTTTGGTGTATGCCATACTCCTATATCTTATTATCAATGTCCTTGTTGTAACTATGACAGAAAATAAGCCTAAAATTCCCTAGAAAGGGGCTAGCACTGAGGCATTGCAGGTAAAGCCGCTGTCTGTGGCGCCAACATCCCGTATGGGCGCCAGTTTGAGTCCTGGCTGCTCCACTTCCAATCCAGCTCCCTGTTAATGTCCCTGGGAAAGCAGCAGAGGATGGCCCAAGTGCTTGGGCTACTGCACCCACATGGGAGACCCAGATGGAGCTCTGGCTCCTGGTTTTGGATCGGTGCAGCTCCGGCCATTGTAGCCAATTGGGGAGTGAATGAGCGGATGTAAGACCTCTCTATTTCTCCCTCTGTCTCTCTGTAACTCTACCTTTCAAGTAAATAAATAAATTTTAAAAAAATATTCCCTGGAAAATATAACACAGGAATAATAATATAATAACATATATTTATATTATATAATAATATAATAATACGTGATATATCAAAATATAATATATAAATGTATAATATATAATAAAATTATAATATATAATAATACATAATATATAATAACTAGGTAAATGTTACATGAAGATCCATGCAAACGTGGTGTTTCTACTAATGGTTTATTGAGGAGAAAAAGTGGTGCATCACTTAAGTATATTCCCATCACATACTTTCCTAGGAACCTTTGAGATCAAACTAATGTTTCAGAAATCTCCCCAGAATGCTTGTCACTTACCTCTTTCCCAAGGTTCCTGCAGAGTCATAAGGCACAGGATGAATCTTTTTGATGAATTCTGCAATAGAACATAAAGTAGTATTATAATTATACTCAGATAATCCTTTTTATTAAATATATATAAAACTACTTTTACTTTCAATTAGTATATAATATTTGTATTGAGACAACAGAATATTGAATTTAAGGGAAAATAATTCTATCATTTATGACATGTCTTGAGTTTAAAATTGAAAGCATTTTACAATGAATACAAAATGTTCCAGGGAAAAATAAATGAAAGAAGACAGAGAGAAAGAAAGAAAGAGAGAGAGTCAGAGAGACTGGCCACAGTGAGTAATACCAGTTAAGAAGAACGCTTCATAATCTTGTCCTTGTGTATAATGTTGTGGAGACTACTAAACAGCCACACCGAGTGAATCACACTGGGAGCACGGCCTTTGTGACCTTGTGATGGGAAAACAGTATTCAAGAGGTTGCAGTCAGGAGATTTCTGAAAGCACACATGTCTGCTAAGGCATCCACGTGTGCTGGTTTGCTGAGAAAGGTCCAATTCCTGCCCACTTCCCGGGGTCTACCCAATCCACCATTTGTCCTGGATTTTACATTTTCCCAGAAGTTTTTTAAAGTAAGCTGGGTAGCTTACTTCCATGCTCTATTGGATCCCACTGAACCCTGGGTAAGACACATGTACCGTGAAGCTGGTCATCAGCAAGGTTAACCATGTAACTGAACCTCACACCCAAAGACAGTACCCACTCGCACCAAAAGGATGTGGCCTCAGACAGGAGGTCAGGCTGGAAGCGAGGGAATGCCTGAGGTTGCTGCCCAGCTTGGGACTAGCTTGAAGACATTAACTTAACAAAAGCAGATGAGAAGGGGTTTTACATGGTTGTCTACAAAGCATGAATTTTCATCTAGATCAAATGACTTTTTAAATCTCACTCAAAGTACTAAGGAAAGGGATAGTGATTGCTTTGTTGGCCCTAGGAGCAGAAGAAATTCACAGGTAAATGATGCCAGCTCTCTGTCAGTATCAGCACGTGCCTCAAAACAGAACCATCGGTTATTTCCAGTGATGGCTTTATGACTTCATCTAACTCGTGAAATCAAAGTGGAGCTTCTGGAAGTTCACACTGTAAAACGCGAAACACCTGAAACTGTTGTCATTACCACTAAAATTCACGGAACAAGTTCAACAATAAATATGAAATTATAGTAATTCTCATTATTCACAGTGGGTTAAGTTCTATGAAACCACCACAAACTCTGAATTAGCCCATGTCGCTCTACTGCTTGTATGGGAAATATGGGATTAGGTTCCTGGGAGCTGCTGGACACATCTCCATCAAGCGATCAAACAGGACGTTCTTTTGCGTGTGTTTCCGTTTCAAGGTACCTTCACACATACAGTGGATGTGCTAAGATGGAGCTCACAGCCAGCACCTCTATACCTCAAGTCTAGCTCACGTAGGTGCCTCTGAAAGACACATGACAGCCCTCTTGCACGCTCTACATGTGGTGGTCTTTCCAGCAGTGAAATCACCACCAAGAAGCACAGAGTTAGAAACACCTAGACACAGAGAAGATGCTCATTGTCAGCATGGGAGCTGACAGAAGGCAGAGCGTGACCCTTCGATTCCACCTCCACGAGGCACACGCGGGTTGAGCAATACCAGCTTTTTCACCGCTCTGCACCATCGGTAGCCATGCACTCCGCGGAATTACCCCAAAAGTGCCATGAGTTCTAACTCCGGGTTCCAGATGTATTTCAGGGAGCAGACAAGTCCACAGAAGCCGGGTGGGAGGGGAAAGTTAACCAAAGGGTGCTTGGTCATGGATGGGTAGAAGCCAGAGTTCTTCAGTTTCCTTGCACAGTAGGGTGACTACAGACACTGCTGTATAGTTCTCTACCAAAAAGATCAGAAGATAGGGTTTCTAATGCTTTCACACTAAAGAAATGTTAACTGTTTGAAGAGCCAGCTAAACCCTGATTGGACACCACACAATATCTACACATGTAGCAAAGCGTTATGTGGCACTCTACAACTATGTACAATTTTTACGTGTCTGTTAAAATCTGGGAACAAGAAGAATCAACTCTATTTGTTTTTACAGTAATAACGCAACCAAAAATTTTGGTACAGCATAGCACATGGTAAAACAGTGCTCATACTAATGGGAAAAAATGGAAATACATTTGGGCTTGGTTGAGGGTCACATACATGAGTAATTCAAAAGTTCATGGAAAAGAGAATTAGAAGGTAATGCACATTTGCATGAACTCTTTGGAGACCCCTTAATCTAGTTCAGAAAGGTGCCAGTATAAACTGTATAACTACTCATCAAAATGAAGTAAATTCAGTTATACCCACAAAAGCTACAACAGTCTACCGATCATATCCTATAAATATTTAAACACACATGCTCTTAAAGAAACTGAGCTAAAATATTTTTATGACAAAGCTGAAGTTGAATTTAAAAAGATACTTCAGTATGGTACTGTATGCTTTCTGTTTTGGTTACCTGTCTTAAAATTCTTTGAGATTTTTAAGACCTACTTCACAAAATCAACAGTGCTGATGATTTCAACCCAACCTAATTCTCAGTTTCATTTTGTCCCAAAGCTATTGGAAATAGCCATGGAGTAAATGTTTGTGTGCACTGCCCCCCGACCTCCCAGTTCTCTTGAATATTTTTTTTGAGGTGCAGCGATAGAAAAAGAAAGGGGGAGGGCCAAGGGCTGAGGGCTGAATCAGCTCCCAATCACTGTTTTACTCCCCCAAATGCCTGCAATGGCTGGTGTGGGCCAGGCCAGGCTGTGGTGGAAGCCAGAAGCTGGAATGCAATCCGGGTCTCCCCTGCGAGTGGCAGGAACTTGGTACTGCCTCCCAGAGTCTGCCGTAGCAGGAAGCCGGAGTGAGGAGCCACAGCATGGAGTACAGCCCGGTGCTCTGATGTGGGAAGTGAGTACCTTAACCACCTAGGCTAAACACCTGCTGCCCCTCCCCTAATTCTTCTACTTAAGTCCTACTTCCCAGTGTGATGGAACACGGGGGAGGTCCTGAGAGGTCCTGTGGATGGACGGGCCCCTCATGATGGGATTCACGCCTTTATGAAAAGATTGCTCTCGGACCCGGCGCATAAAGGGCAGTCATGTGAAGACAGCAAGAAAGCCAAGCCAGGTCTCAAAGCAGGAAGCAGGCCCCTCAGACAGGGAATCTACCAGCACCTTGAGCGTGGGACTCCCAGCCTGCAGAGCTGCAAGAAGTAAATGTTTGTTGTTGAAGCCTCCCAGTCTATGGCCATTTTCTTATAGCAGCTCAAACTGGCTAAGCAGAAATCTTTAGTTCAAGGTTTAATTTTTATTTAGAACCTACCTTTTTACTTAGGTAAGTTTATATTATGGATCAGGATGAAATGAACCTGAAAATATCTACAATTCAGCAGCACTTAAATTCCTTAAATGTTCAAAAGATTTCTATACCAGGTACCACTCATTTCACAAGCTTTGTCTCATAAAAATTTTATTGAGGGGCCGGCGCTGTGGCATAGTGGGTAAAGCTGCTGCCTGCAGTGCCAGCATCCCATATGGATCCTGGTTTGAGTCCCGGCTACTCTAGTTCCAATCCAGCTCTCTGTTATGGCCTGGGAAAGCAGTAGAAGATGGCCCAAGTCCTTGGGCCCCTGCACCCCCATGGGAGACCTGGAAGAAGCACCTGGCTCCTGGCTTTGGACTGGTGCAAATCCAGCCATTGCGACCAACTGGGGAGTGAATCAGCGGATGGAAGACCTCTCTCTCTCTCTTCTCTTTCTCTCTCTCTCTCTGTGCCTCTCCTTCTCTTTTTAAAAAAGATTTATTTATTTATTTACTTGAAAGTTAGAGTTACACAGAGAGAAGAGAGGAAGAGAGAGAGAGGTCTTCCATCTGATGGTTCACTTTCCAATTGACTGCAACAGCCGGAGTTGCGCCAATCCAAAGCCAGGATCCAGGATCTTCTTCCGGGTCTCCCATGCAGGTGCAGGGGCCCAAGGACTTGGGCCATCTTCTATTGCTTTCCCAGGCCATAGCAGAGAGCTGGATCAGAATTAGAGCAGCCGAGACTAGAACTGGCACCCATATGGGTTGCCAGCTCTTCAAGCCAGGGCATTAACGTGCTGTGCCACAGCACTGGCCCCAAATAAATAAATCTTAAAAAAAAAAGGTGGCTTCCATTAAACATTTTTTTGGTGAATAATGGTAATCTAAATAAAAACAGACAGTACTTGTAAAATATATATGCTAGGATATGTACACATTAAACTATTAAAATGTCAAAGTTTAGAATAACTTCTATTTAGTAGGTTTCCCTTATACTTAACCAGTACTTCAGTACCTGTGGATAGATTTTATTAACAAATTTAAAAATTAGGATTTACAGAAAATAATGACTATTGAAGAAAACAACAATTTCAAATTTAGCAGCCATGCCTTTTTTCTTTCTGTCTCTCTGTAACTCTGCCTTTCAAATACAATAAATAAATCTAAAAAAAAAAAAGAAAAAAAAAAAAGTAGCCAGCGTTGTGGCATGGCAGGTAAAGCCACTGCCTGCAGCACTGACATCTCATATGGGTGCCAGTTCAAGACCCAGCTGCTCTTCTTCTGATCCAACTCCCTGCTAATGCACCTGGGAAAGTGGTGGAGGATGGTCCAAGACTAGGACACCTGCACCCAGGGAGACCTGGAAGAAGCTCCTGGCTCCTGGCTTTGGATTGGCCCAACTGTGGCTGTTGTGGCCATTTGGGGAGTGAACCAGCAGATGGAAGATCTCTCTCTTTGTCTCTGCCTCTCTCTCCCTCTGTAACTTTCTACCTTTCAAATAAAATAAATATTTTTTAAAAATAATAAGACTACAGTTTGATGAACCAACTCAAAATAATACAACCATGTTTAAAAATACATTGCTTTTCAAAAAAAAGCAGGTTCTCAGTATATTATATACAAATTATGGCTAAGCAACTAAGTAATATATGTGAACTTTTACTGAGAATTCTGTTTTTTCTTAAAAATGCTGAGAA